CTCTCTAACGACTGGCCTTGCACCTTGGTGCATCTGGTCAGACACATCCTACCTTTGACCTTGGAATGGGATTATGGCCACAGAGATGAACTGCTTAGTGAAGAGACGCAAAAAAAAAAAAAAAAAAAAAAAAAAAAAAAAAAAAAAAAAAAAAAAAAAAGGTCTAGATTGGGCACTAAAACTTCTCTTAGTGTTTATTGTGAAATTTCTTTCAATATTTTGTTGGTCGTAGACATATTTGCTTGGAATTCCTTATTTTTGTGCAAAGCCTTATTAAATATATTAAATATTTTAGAGTCAGTAATTGTTTCCAACTGCATTTATCTTGACCTGTTTTTTAATGTTGCAAAAATACACATATCTAACCTAAAAGTGCAAGCCTACAAGTTGGGAATTTTGCACCTGTAGAACAAGAAGCTTTTCCTTGGAACGGAATGAAATTACACAAGAACTGAGGAATGTGATGTGTAAGCACAGCTTCTTCAATGTCACAACTGTTGAAAGAATGTTCCAGAGGAAAAGATAAGCTTTTGTCAGACATGCTTGTATCTCCAAATCTCATACTGAATAATATGTCTTCAGAGAAATACAGACAGCTAGAGAATTTAACAGTGTCCTTTGAGTGAGCTACAATATAAAGTAGCATAACCACATACCAATAATAAAACAATCCCTTTGTGCAGAATGAACAAGGTGGTCACTGACATTTGTGGACATTTGACTGAAAAAAGTTACATATTTAATTTTTAATGCAATGGACATGTGTCTCACATATATACAATGTATAGAAGGATAAATAATTGCTTTTTGTGATGTAGAGACTGATACATGATAACCAAATTTGTTATATATGATAAAAAGCTCTTCAATGCAAAACTACAACTAGGAATAACAGTTTCACAGTGAGGGTTATTTTGCTTTTTTCATATTTAAAATAAATACATCAAGGAATTATAACAAATTTGTTTTCATTTTCTAGTAAAAATTGTAATTTCATAATGTATATTTCTAAAAGATCTTTATTACTTTACATTTTTAATTAGTGTGCACGTGTGTGCGTGTGCACCTGTGTGTGTGTGTGTGTGTGTGTGTGTGTGTGTGTGTGTGTGTATACACATAATGCGTGTGTGCCATGGTGCATGTGTGGAAGTTAGAACTGGTCATTATGGAGTCAGTTCCCTCCTTTCACATTTATGACTGTTCTGTATTAAACTCAGGTCATCAGGTCTACACAGCACATGCATTTACCCACTGAGCCATTTCTCCAGCCCAGAAAATAAACCATTCTAATTCACCACTTTAATTATTTTATAACATAGTTCTTCATTGATTCTTTATCATGCACCCCAATTCTGATCACTTTCCAGTCCCTCCATATCCGCCCCTCACCCCTGAAGCCTCCCCCTCAAAAGACACCCCCCCTCGCAAAAAGGTTAATTCAAAACAAAACAAAAAACAGACTACCTCACTTCTCCATCTTTCCAAAAGCTCTTCATTCATCCTTGTGGCATTGGAAGCTGCACTGTGTGATGCAGTATACTCTTTTGTCCAATCAGCCCCACCCACAAAATTCTGATTGGTCTGGTTCAAAGCCTCTGGCACACCATCATCACTGGACCCTCACTGTAATTTGCCACTTTAACTGAACAATTTTCATGTACCTGCTACAATTATTGCATCAGAATGTGGTAGCCAATGATTGTTCTAGTCTACAATATGAGAGATTAAGGTAATTATTAATACTAGTAACAGTTTAGCATTATACTAAGAATTTTATCTATATAATTCTTACTGTCCAAATCTATATCAATACCTATATTTTTAAGTAGACTTTGAAATTCAGGGAACCTCTATAAACTAGCCCAAAGACACAGAGTACCTGAGTAGAATTCAATTTCAAGTGAAAACGTCTGTCAGTTGCTCAGTCATTATATCATCAAATGCATTCCACAGCTATATTTGTTGAATGTAAGTCACTAAAATTTTATGAGTTTCTTGTAGTCTCACTTTGAGTGTTTACAAAATGGCACAGCCATCCCCTAAGGGAACAGTGAAAAGTCATAGAGCCAGCATAGCTGCTTGAGAAAGTTCCAGCAAAGCTGAGTCACATGCTACGATTGTTGACCTGATGCTCTTCACTCTCAGTTTGAATCTCTGTGTGTTACACTCTTGAGTGGGGGGGACTATTAGCGTGATGATTTATCCATGTCTTTTCTGAGAAAATTGTTTCTGTATACCCCTGAAGAAGTCCTGAACATACTACCCTCTGCTTTCAGGGACTTAACCTTAGTTGATTCTACTTAGGGGTCTTCTCTGTGCTTGGAGGTTGTTATCTGCCCCTATGTAAACTCAAGAACAAAATAGTTAGAACCCTATGAATTCAGAAGAGGCTGAAAAGGTTCAGCAGGACAGAAGAACTGGCAGCAGATCAGAGCATGGAACTCCTTTACAGTATACTTACAATTTCATAGAAACATACCCTACAAGATAGAAGCCTACATAGACATTAGCCTCTAAAAAGAATTCAGCAATAAGAGAATGACTAGGATAACATAACAGCATGTACAGGTGGTGTAAGAAGACATAGAAGTGTAGCTTGAGTTTTCCTGACCATCCCACAGCACTTCCCCTTTTCTTTTCTTAAAAAGGAAGGTTTTAACCTTTACACATCATGAAAATCAGCTTGGTATATTTGGGAATTTGGACGTAGCTTCTCTTACTACTTCCTGCTGGAGGGGGGTGCTGTATCTTATGGGGACACAAAGAATATTTTAGGATTATGGAGTAGTCCATGAGGGTGTATCGTCTGAGCCAGTTGCCTTGAAATGGTTCTGGATGTTGGATCATCTGGGCCATGGTGTCATCGGAGACCTTTCAGGGGGTCTTGGCTGGTCAAACCTGATGTATCTTAATCTGGAACAAATCCATAGCGTCTGGCTTTCTGTGGAAACAAAAGCAGAGCCTCCTTTCCAAAGCAACATATCCTTATATCCAAATTTTGAAGTCAAGGTACCTTTAAAATATACATTTTGGCATAACTCAACAGCTTTTGTAATCAAATGTTTTTCTTTAGTTACGAATATCAAAGAAAACATAATCCAGATTCTCTGTGTGGTAGCCATCTTTACGTGGCTTATTTTTTTATATTAGCTTGAGCCTATTGCTTTAAACTGCAGCCTTCTAAGCCTGAAACGGCACTGGCACTGTGGCTGCTGGCTCTGCCCACTTCAGCTTCCCAACATGGCGGTGATACGTTTTCCGCCAGCTCTGGGAGCCATCAACTCTCAGAAATAGTGGGTCTATGCTTCTATCAAAGCAGCGTGTAGCCCAGAAACCTCTTTTTTTTGTTTTGTTTTGTACTAACAAAGGCTAAATCCACCACACAGCTTAATGTGCCACTTGCAGAGGCCTCATTCCCACCATACTGCAGGTCAAGCATGCATGCACGCTAGGAACCCGCCAGTAGCTCAAACTGGCAGCTGCCACTCATTTGAGAGAGACAATTAGGAACTGTTTTTAGCTCCGTTTTAGAATCTTTTTTCTCAGGTTTTAGGTGGAAACTCTTGCCCCACGTTGGGCGCCATTTGTAACTAGAGTTTTCCTGCCTGGCCCACAGTCAGGGCAAATCTCTCTCACCTGCCAGTCCCACAGCCACTCAAACCCGACCAAGTAAACACAGAGACTTATATTGGTTGCAAACTGTATGTCCGTGGCAGGCTTCTTGCTAACTGTTCTTACAGCTTAAATTAATCCATTTCCACTAATCTATACCTTGCCACATGGCTCATGGCTTACCGGCATCTTTACGTGCTGTTTCTCATCATGGCAGCTGGCAGTGTCTCTCTGACTCAGCCTTCCACTTCCCAGCTCTATTCTCCTCCTTGTCCCACCTATACTTCCTGCCTGGCCACGGGCCAATCAGTGATTTATTTATTGACCAATCAGCAACACACTTGACATACAGACCATCCCACAGCATAGAAGAATATAAGACAAGTAAGGTATTAGGATTTGTCATTCCTAAAATGATTGATTTATATCAGGTTGCTGTGATATTACCTAACTTAGAAACAAAAGAACTCTTTTATTTAATAAATTCTTATAAGATTATAAATACGCCGGGCAGTGGTGGTGCACACCTTTAATCTCAACACTTGGGAGGCAGAGCCAGGTGGATCTCTGTGCGTTCAAGGCCAGCCTGGGCTACAGAGTGAGTTCCAGGAAAGGCACCAAAGCTACACAGAGAAACCCTGTCTCGAAAAACCAAAAAAAAAAAAAAAAAAAAAAAAAAAAAAGAATTGAATAGTAGCTACAACAGTTCCTAAGCCTGAGAAAGTTCTCAGGTTTAGTCTAATTTGCAAGTAATATGACTGATCATCAAAAGTTAATGATATACTGCCCAAAGTCTGGTGATTCACCTGGACTGACTCAGATATCATCTAAAACATTTTGAAACCACAAACTGCTGCCAGCCTGAAAACAGGCTGCTATATTATGCTTGCTTAAGCTGAAGTGATCTGTAGAATTCTAGGAATAGAGATATGGGGCTGATAATAAAATATATTCTATCTGGACTTAACCTATAACCCTCGACATAGTAGAGAAGTATGCCCAGGACAAAATGATGTGATCTGTGTCTCTTGAGAAATCATGAGTGTCTTTAAAATCTGTATAAATAAAGAAATTTTCTGATTGCTAGTCAGTCAGATTTTCAAAGTCTTCCCGTCTATGTGTCTGACTCAGCCTTCCCCTCACCTGATCCCTACATCCTTTCTGGAACCAGTTCACTGCTGGGGCTGGCCCCCGGGCACCAGCAGTCAATGATTTCAAGTTTTGTTTGGAAGAACAGTTTCAGGGGAAGAGGGAGAGGGGGAAGGGATGAAAGAGAGTAACTGGCAAAAAACGACTAAAATTCATCATGTATACACACATGTGTGAAACTATCAGAGGATTAAAACTTGACAAAAAAAAAATGCTACCTCCCTTTTTTCTCTTTCCAGAATTGCACCATGCCAAGCTACAAACTGATTTATTTTAATATGAGGGGGAGAGCAGAAATTATTCGTTATATATTTGCTTATTTGGACATAAAGTATGAAGATCACAGAATAGAACAAGCTGACTGGCCCAAAATCAAACCGAGTAAGTAACATAAATCATGCAGATTATGCAGGAGGAATGTATTTCAGGGGTTTTCATCCTTCCTCTGGGAAATGCAAGCCTGATCTTACAGAGCTTCACAAGGAGAAGCGGCAGTGCAGGTAAACCAAACAGATGCATGCTGTGCCCTGGGCTTGCTCTGCTTTTTATCTTCTTTCTCAATATATGACTCAGAACTGTAGAACCAGCTGGGCAACTGACCCCTTGTTTATAAAATGAGACCGTAGTTAACACCTATGGCTCAGGGTTAAGTGCTTGCAGCCAGGTGAGCATGTCACAGTTCCAGTCCTGTGCTCCCTTTCAGGCTCTGCATGCCACCTCCCGCTTGTTTACACCTGGGCTTCAGATGAAGCCATCAGTTCATACCCATTTTATTCGGAACTCTGTCTTGCTCACAGCACTTCGGGGCCTTGAACAGCACTTGGTTTACTCACTGGGTCAGGAATCAAAGCTGTGCTTTTTCCCCGGGTGAAAGAAGCTGACTTTGTGCTCACCCATGGATGTACAGAGGTCTGGCCCCAGTCCCTGTGTGAGGTACATGACTTGCCATCTACACTTCATTTTTTGTCTTCTTTCCAAAATAATTGTGTGCCCAAATCTAAAATGTTGTTTGGGAAGTTGTAGCACCTCAAGATCATTGAAACAATGGTGGTCCATTGATTAAGAAAGGTTTCAAGGGGCTGGAGAGATGGCTCAGAGGTTAAGAGCACTGACTGCTCTTCCAGAGGTCCTGAGTTCAATTCCCAGCAACCACATGGTGGCTCACAGCCACCTGTATCAAGATCTGGTGCCTTCTTCTGGCCTACGGTCATACATGCTGTATACATAATAAATAAATAAATCTTAAAATATATATATTTAAAAAAAACTTTAAAAAAAAAGAAAGGTTTCAAAGATAGCATCAAGTGAGAAAGGGGACTTTGTATAATAATATCATATGTTATTTTTTTAATATTATTTATGTTAGTTTCTCATGGCTGTGACAGAAATGGGGGAGGGACGTGGAGAAGGAAGGATGTATTCAGAGGTTTCAGTGCAGTCTGCTCACTGCTTGAGGCCTCAGGAAAGAAACATCACGGTTGGAAGGGTGTGATGGAACAAGAGCTGCTCATCATGTGAGAGTTGGGAGCAGGGAGAAAGCAAGGGGGAGGTTACAACTGAGATGGAAGGCAAGTCCCCAGCAGCCCACCTCCCCCAGCAAGGCCCTACCTCCCACAGGTCCAAGTCCCCAGCAGCTCACTTCCCCCAGCAAGACCCTACCTCCCACAGGTCCAAGTCCCCAGCAGCCCACTTCCCCCAGCAAGGCCTTACCTCCCACAGGTCCAAGTCCTCAGCAGCCCACTTCCCCCAGCAAGGCCCTACCTCCCACAGGTCCAAGTCCCCAGCAGCCCACTTCCCCCAGCAAGGCCCTACCTCCCACACGTCCACCTTATGGCATGCATCCAAAACTCAAATTAGTCCGTAGAATAAACTGTTCACTGGATCAGCGACTCATGATCTGGTGTCTGAGAAAAGACCCTCATAGATAGGTGCTGAGTGCTAATGTAGGCATCTCTCAAGCTAATCAAGGCATGAGTGCTAATGTGGGTATCTCTCAAGCTAATCAAGGTGTGAGTGCTAATGTAGGTATCTCTCAAGCTAATCAAGGTGTGAGTGCTAATGTAGACATCTCTCAAGCTAATCAAGGTGTGAGTGTCAATGCAAGCATCTCTCAATCTAATCAAGTTGACAAGGTTAACTAACACAATATGGAAAATTTATTAGAATACTACAATCACTGTAACTACCTGGTAGAAACATTCTTGTTTAAGTTTTATGAATATTCTATAATAAAAAGTATATTGCTTTCTCACAGAAGTAAAATGTTCAACAAAGAAGTGGAAGTTACTCATATAGCATTAATATTATCTGTTGTGACTGTTTTATGTTTGTACAATATGCTTCCATCTTTTGTTATATAATCCACAATGCTCTTCATCAAAATAAGACTAGGATAAAACTTCCTTAGCTCGCCGGGCGGTGGTGGCGCACGCCTTTAATTCCAGCACTCAGGAGGCAGAGCCAAGTGGATCTCTGTGAGTTCGAGGCCAGCCTGGACTACCAAGTGAGTTCCAGGAAAGGCGCAAAGCTACACAGAGAAACCCTGTCTCGAAAAAACAAAACAAACAAACGACAACAACAAAAACACTTCCTTACTTCCTTAGCTCATGTATAAGTCAAACTCTATAATTGTTGGAATATGTTCTAAAGTAACTCATGTGATCTATTCTGAGACTATAAAATTAATGAAGCTTGAAAACACGGATTTTTATAAAAGTCAAGTATGTGGGTGAAGAGATGGTTCACCATGTGAGTCAAGAGGAGTTGCTGCACTTGCAGGACTGAGGTTCAGTTTCCAGCCGCCATGTAGTTACCATTTGTAACTTCAGTTCCAATGGATCTGATTCCCTCTTCTGGCCTCCAAAGGCACTGCACACACATGGCACACTATTGATGAAATTATTAAGGCCACTCCACGCAGTTAAAAGGGAGGTTTATTTTGTGGGGTAACTTACAAGTGAAGGGATAGTTTACAGGGTCTGGGAAAGGTGTGGCGCAGTCCGGCGGTGTTCTCTGGAGAACTCTGCTTGGTCTACCTCCAGCGTCCAGGGTCCAGGAACCTAGAGAGCCCACGCATCAGGATCTCGGGTCTTCAGGGTCCTCCCTTGGCTCTGCCTTGTAGGCGTGACAGTTACCGAAGCCTCAATGGGGGTTGGAACTTCCAGAACAAAGCTGGAATAGCTACCCACTACAGCTCACTTACATACATGCAGGCAAGACACTCATAACACAAAAACTAAAATTAAGTAAGCCTTTTAAAGAGCAGTAAATTTATAAATCAATCTAATATGAGACAATGAGGGAGTGTAATGTGTAGTATCCCTGTAAACATTTTGTTATTGTTTGTTTTTCAATTGAGACGTTGTCCAAACTCGGTATCTAAAATGATCTGGAACTCATGATCCACCTACCTCACAAGTGCTAAGGTTGCAGGCATAATCCAGCACACTCAGTTTATGCAGTGTTGGGGATCAAACCCAGAGGCTTGTGTGGAGCCTGGTACATATTAGCAGGCACTCTACCAACTGAGCTCCATGCTCCCTGCATACACATGATTTTTACAACCAGTTCTTTAACTGATTTTATATTCAGTTTTCAAATCTACCAAACTGTGAAGACTGCAGTAGAGAATGTGGAGTTGTCTCTTTTAAGAAGAAATGTTTTGAGGGGTTTAGATAGCGCTCAAACAGTATAGTGCTTTTTGTTTTTAAATAATTCTTTATTGATTCTTTGGGAATTTCACATCATGCACCCCAATCCCTGCATATCTGCCCCTCATCCCTGCAGCATACTTCCCAAAAGAACCACCTCCAAGAAATTAATTCAAAACAAAACAAAACAAACAAAAAGCCACCTCGCTCCTCCGTCTTTCTAACACCTCTTCATCCATCCGAGTGGCATCGGGAGCTGCGGTCTGTCACACAGAATACCCTTTTGTACAATCAGCCACACCCACAAATGTTCATTGCAAAGAGTCTTTGGTCTGGTTCAAGGTGTCTGGCACACTGTCATCACCAGATCCTCACCAAAACTCCCCATACCCTGCTGTTGCCCCAGTCACGGAGATCCTGTGGTTGAAATCCGAGGACCCTGCTGAGCCGGCCCTGCCCTTCACTGGCCCTGGGATAGATAGCCCTGCCCCTCGATGGACACTGCAGCAGGAGAGCTGATCCCCGCCCCCGCCCCCCAACACACACACACACACACACACACACACAGGAGAGCCGGCTCTTGCACTGGGGAAAGATGGCCCAACTCCTCACCATTGGCTTGGGAGAGCTGGTTCTGTCCCTCACCTGAGGGAGGCAGTCCCAGTGGCCTGGACTGACCAGTTCAGCTACCATCCAGACCCACATCCTGGGCCTTGGGTTGGCCCACTGTCTTAGTTAGGGTTTCTTTTTCTTTCTTTTTTTAAAAGGATATTCTTTTTTTTTTTTTTTTTTTTTTTTTTTTTTTTTTTTTTTTTTTTTTTTTTTTGGTTTTTTCGAGACAGGGTTTCTCTGTGTAGCTTTGCGCCTCTCCTGGAACTCACTTGGTAGCCCAGGCTGGCCTCGAACTCACAGAGATCCGCCTGGCTCTGCCTCCCGAGTGCTGGGATTAAAGGCGTGCGCCACCACCGCCCGGCCCTTTTTTTTATTATTTATTGTGCATACAGTGTTCTGCTGGTATGTATGCCTGCCCGCCAAAAGAGGGCACCAGATTTCATTATAGATGGTTATAAGCCACCATGCGGTTTCTGGAAATTGAACTCAGGCCCTCTGGAAGAGCAGCTAGTGCTCTTAACCTCTGAGCCATCTCTTCAGCCCTAGGGTTTCTATGGTTGTGACAAAAACATCATGACCAAAAAGCAAGTTGGGGAGGAGTTTATTCAGCTTACACTTCATCACTTCTGTTCATCACTGAAGAAAGTCAGGACAGGAACTTAAACAGAGCAGAATCCTGGAGGCAGAAGCTGATGTAAAGGCCATGGAGGGGATCTGCATACTGGTTAGCTTCCCCTGACTTGCTCAGCCACCTTCTTATAGAAATCAGGACTGGCCGGGCGGTGGTGGCGCATGCCTTTAATCCCAGCACTCGGGAGGCAGAGCTAGGCGGATCTCTGTGAGTTCGAGGCCAGCCTGGGCTACCAAGTGAGTTCCAGGAAAGGCGCAAAGCTACACAGAGAAACCCTGTCTCGAAAAACCAAAAAAAAAAAAAAGAAATCAGGACCACCAGCCCAGGAATGGTACCACCCACCATGGGCTGGGCCATCCCCCATTGATCACTACATGAGAAAATGCCTTACAGCTGATCTCAAGGAGGAATTTCCTCAGCTGAGGCTCCTTCCACTGATGACTCTATAACTTGTGTCAAGTTGACAAACAAAACCACCCAGTACGCCCACCCTAACATCTACCCCATCTATGACCGGCTGGAGTGCATGGAGGGACTGGTCCTGTGAAACGATAACCACACAATCTCCATGATTTAGGGTAACAGTATAGTGCTTCTTAAAGTAAGCATATTTTTAAGTTTACAAATATATATGTATATATACTCTATATTTAAGACTTTCATGACTTTATAGGGTACCTTGTTTCAACTGTTCTGGCTTCTCTCACCATTCTTGGTTCAGCTCTGAAGTTAACTCTACATTTGGTCTGTTTTAGCTCTTCCATTTGGCAAAATCCCTGTTTTGGAAGTGGGAGGACTTACCCTTCACCAGAGTCTCGCAATAGCAAGATATTTGACTAAAAACACAGGTAATATACATATTTGTAGTTAAGGCTTTGGATAACTGAAAAAAATCATGATGTTTCTTTGATAATTGCTTAATAACTGTATTATTTAACTATAGTGCAATTAGCAATGGCTCCAGAGATTAAAACATTATAAATGTACCATCTACATCAGTAGTGCAATTAGGAATGGGTCTGGAGATTAGAACATTATAAATGTACCATCTACATCAGTAGAACTTTCTCCAAATGCTTTAGACAGCTGTTTTATTTTGCCATTTTATGTTTTTATATACAGGGTCTTACTACATATTCTTGGTTTGCCTACTATTTGCTATATAACCCACAGTGGCTTAAACCCTTGATCCTTCTATGACAGCCTACCCCATGCTTAGATGAAAGGCATGTGCTGTCACAGCAGGCCACATAGTCTCACTTTATATAGTGTCCTCCCCCTCCTGTATCACACCATATTGTCATCATGCTGTTTCTAGAATCTAGCTGGAAAATTGGATTGGCATGTCATGCTAGTGTTGAGTATTATGATTTAGACAAAAAAAATAGCCAGAAATACATACAGCACGTGAAGACTGGAACTTGTTGGACTGTTGGAGTTATGATTCAGTGCCTTTCATTCTGATCATGCTCAGAAGAATAGGAAGGTGGCATCCTCGCCTCCGCTGGCTGTCATCTGAGGCCTCCTTAGCTGGTGCACCGTGAGTGCGTGGAGGTAACAGAGATGGCCCCTGCCTTCTTCTCATCATGCTCCACTTCCTACTTCCCCTGTGGAGTCTCGCAAAGGTCCTAGTGAGGTCTGAGCTTGCTTTATCCAGAAGAGCTGCATTAGAGGATGGCATGGTTTCCAGGTGATTGGAATGGGTCTGCACTTGGCTGTGCTGAGGGGAGGTCTTTTGCTCCACCCCTTGGCATTCCTATAAATAGCCTTTTAGAAGAGACCGAAGGGGCTGGTGGATTAGGATCCAGGCCCTCCCAAGGCTATCCTGTGTTTCTATGTTTCTGTCCCCTCTATCCTTCTATCTAAATCTCTTATCCCTCACTCCTCAAGAGTACCCTAGGGGAAAATGTGGGAGTGGGTTTCCCACATTCCCCTCTCCTCTTCCCACTTTAATTAATTAATTTATTTATTAGTAAAAAAGCAACTTTGGGTTTCTTAAAGCCTTTTTGTTTTTAATTAACATGCTAGAATCACTATTTTCCACTTCCACCCTTTTCATCTCCCCCCCTCCCCCACCACACTGCTACCACCTTATGATCCAAGCATGCTGAGCACCCAAGTGACTCTTAATTATTAAGTTCCCATTTTAGGAACAAAGATGTTTATTTTAAACACATAAACAGGACTGGAGACTTAGCTCAGCATTAAAAGAGTACTTGTTGCTCTTGCAGAGGACCTGATTTTGGTTCCCACATTCACAAGGTGGCTCACATCTATCTGTAACTCCACTTCCAGGGGATAATGACTTCTGACCTCTGTGGGCACCAGGCTCACACATGGAAACATACTTACATGAGGGCAAAGAAGATGGAATATGTCTATGGAAGTTGGGCTTAGAAGAGAAAGGGGTATTTGAATCAAGCCTCAGAGGATACCTTGGGTCCCCGGTCCTCCACTCATAAGTGTATCAAGGTTTCCTCAGGGCTTCGGAGCATTCAGAGCACATACACTCTTCCTTGTTTCCAGACTTGATTCAGGAGGCTGGAGGAGGACCCTGCAAAGTTTAAAATTAAAATTAAAATTAAAAATTCCCCGATGGTGTTGTTGACAGAGGGACCTCACTTAGACTCACCAGATGTACAGCGTTACAAGTAGAGAGGAAAAGGCCCAAGAAAAACAAACAAAACCAAAACCTTCATATTTGCAGATTAGAGAAGGAGGGTTACTTAGCAAAATACACTGGTCATGATTAGAAAATCCAGGGTATGGACTTCCCTAACAGTTGTAGGTCGTTACCCAAAAGGGCAGCACACAGAGGCATGACTGTAGGACAGTTCTTCGGGGGATCGTTTGTTCTTGATTGGCCTGACTGCAGGACACACATTAAAGGATTTTGAAATAGTCCAGATGGCACCAAAAGGAGGAGTGTGGAGAACCTGAGAATGCATCCAGAACCTTTGTAGGGCTGTGCCACAGGGAAGGGCAAGAGAGCCCAATGGGCAGACTTTGTTATTCTCAGAGCACTGAGACACCCACTACCACTCCAGTCTTCTCCCTCTCTGTTCTACGCAAAGACCTTCCTCAGTTTGCAATACCCCTTACCCTATCAGGTTTACCAGCCTGGGAGGCAGCAATGCAAGGAGTCTCTTTCAATGCGCACTGGACGACTCACAGTAGGAGCCAGGCCCTCCTGGAATGAAAAAAGAATAGTCGGTTTGAGGTGTGGTGTCTAGTAATTTGATGCCGGAAGTTCAGGAGGAAAAACAGCTCCAAATATTTGCAAAGGGGCCTGAGAGATGTCTGTTGTTTGGAAGGAGGGATGTCCACAGAGGCATTAACTGCCCCAAAGTAACAGCTAAAGCCTGGAACATAGAAGTCAAACCAGGGCTGGGGGAGAGGGAGGGACCTGTGACAAGCTTTTTCAGGTTAGTGAGGAAAGTCAATCTGTGGAAATCACACGTGAAGTTACAAGTACATGAAGCAAGCAAGTTCCTTCACCCTGAACAGCTTCACTAAGGCTTTGTTTATATTAGCCATGCATCATCAGCCTGAAGTTCCTTAGGCTTAGTAATTTAATACAGTTACACAAAAGCAGTCAGTTTTACAAGACTTTCATACTGAATCATTTCAAATTGACACTAGTGAAGGAAAGTTGAGAAAGATCAATGACTTAGAAGAAAAATATTTAGAAATTACTAGAAAAAAAAGATTAACAAATGAGTGAAAAAATATAAGGACAAAAATCACCAGCCACTGTTTACTCTTTTTTTCTACTGAAAGCTTTGAATATCTTGTAAACTGGGGCTGGAGAGATGGCTCAGCAATTAAGAGCACTGGCTGCTCTTCCAGAAAACCCAGGCTGCCTTCCCAGCACCCATAAAGGCAGCTCACAACTGTCTGTACCTCTAGTTCCAGGAAAGCCAATGCCCTCTTCCGAACTGCTGGCGTATGGTGCATACAAGCTGACAAAACACCCGTGCACATAAAAATTAAAATTGAAAAATTATCTTAAGAATCTTGAAAGGTTTTGTAAGGTTTTTTTTATTTTTATTCCTAATTTCTCTTTTGTTAAACTCCGGAGGTTCTTGAGCCTTGTCTTGCCTCTGAAAAGAAATGTTTCAATTCGAAGGGAATGTTGCTTCTAGGAAGAACATGCCTTGCAACAAACAGAGACAATGTATCTCAGCCTCAGACCGTTTAAGCACCGTGGGCATCCAACCATCAAGAGCCGGAGCTCCCAGGATTCAGCTACAGTTGCCAGCAGTACCTCCTAGCTAGCTTTGTGGTGAGATGCTTGTAAGTCAGTACCTTGACTCAGCCTTGCCTGGCTCTCAGTCGTGGCATTTTGTTGTCCCAGGGTTAAGACATTCTATCATTTTTTTTTTTTTGGTTTTTCGAGACAGGGTTTCTCTGTGTAGCTTTGCGCCTTTCCTGGAACTCGCTTTGGAGACCAGGCTGGCCTCGAACTCACAGAGATCCGCCTGGCTCTGCCTCCCGAGTGCTGGGATTAAAGGCGTGCGCCACCACCGCCCGGCCATTCTATCATTTTTAAAGTTGAAACTTTATGGTGAAAACTGGGGCCAGATTTTCCCCAGACTTTTTAAAGCTGTGTAAAGAAGAATAAGGCAAAAACTTCTAGAGTTTTCTCCTAGCTCTACCACCAACCTGTCTTCTGCCTCAAGACTGTTTTACGCTGTTTGGATTTTCTAAAGTATTACTATGTTGCCTAGTTGACACATTAATAGTGAATTAAATTGAGCATGTTGGTAGATACAAAATGGCCTCTTTCTATCCCATAGATTTGGCTGGCAAGACAGAGTTGGAGCAATGTCAAGCTGATGCGGTTGTGGACACACTGGACGACTTCATGTCTCTTTTTCCATGGGCAGAGAAAAATCAAGATGCAAAAGTAATGCAATAATCTTACTATCATATGGTTATCATAGTTATATGGTTAACCCTGGATCACCCCCAGACATTGCATTACAGGGCTTTAAAAAGTTATTTTTAATCTATGTAATATGTAATATTACATATATATAATATGTACTTTAGAAAATGAAGTTGTACTGAACTATAAGGCCAGGTCAATGATTTCCTGCCATACTTTGTGCTAACCCCACCTCAAATACTTTTTAAAAGTGTCTGTGCATGTGAACCTTTGAGAATGTATGTGTGCCATATACATGTGGGATCCTGCAGAGGCCAGAAGAGGGTTTGGATTCCCTGGAATCAGAGTTCCAGATGGTTGAGAGCTGTCATGTGGGTACTAGGAACCAAACCCAGGTCCTCTGCAGGAGCAGTAAGTGCTTTTACCCACAGAACCATCCCTCAGGCCCAACAGATCCAGTTTATAATGCTTTCTGCTCTTTTCTGGGGACAAACACACCTTCACCTTCCTGTCTTCCATTCTTCCTTTTCTTCTTTCTTTTTAAAAGTTTATTTTGCGTGCGCATGTGTACTGTGTATATAGCCACGCAAGGCGTGGCATGGCTATGGGGGTCAGAGCACAGCCCGCAGGAGTCAGCTGTCTCCTTCTACCATGTAGGTCCCCGGGATTGAACTCACATCAGCATGTTTGGTGGCAAGCATTTTTACCTACTAAACCATCTCACCAAGGAGCGCTTTCTCTCTCTCTCTCTCTCTCTCTCTCTCTCTCTCTCTCTCTCTCTCTCCCTCCCTTAGAAACAGTGTCTCATTGTGTAGACTACAGAATATGTACTATCATATCTCTGTAGCATAGACAAATATAGTTTGATTTAGCAGTTTTAGACAATTCTTATAGACCTCTTACGGAATCTGTAAGAATTTTTCTCTTTCTCCCTCTTTTTATTAGACAGTTTTTTTGTAGGCGAGGCTAGCCTCTAACTCATCTTCTATGTAGCTGAGGATGACCTCCAACTCCTGGTCCTCCCCAGTGCTGGAATTACAGGAGAGCACCACCACATCTAGCTCAGAATTTCTCTCTTCCTGTGTCATCTTCTCTGCCTCTTTTCCCCTAAGCTCTCAACACGGTGATATCAAGATCTTCGAGCTAGACTAATATTCCATGATTATGTAGCTTTGCATATGCAAATACAAACTGTACATGGTAGTGTATTTCAGTAATGCTTCCTTTCTTATTTTTTCTCCTCAAAATCAGTAACTGTGTTTTTACTTTTGCCTAATTCCTTTTACTTTTTTTTTTTCTAGAAACTTTCCACACTGGTAGAATTTCCCTCAAAGTCAATGACATCAGCCTGCCTTCTCTTTCAGTGATTCTGGGTGCGGTTGCCTCTCTGGCACTTTGCTGAGCTCTCTGGCCTGGAGGCCTCCCCTGCCCTGCAGCTCTGGGGATTTCTACAGAGCTATTGTCTCAGGCCTTCCTGCTACCACTGTCCCAGCCAGGCCCTTTCTTCTGGGGTTGGCTCTTGTTTCCAGGGTGATGCCCACTTTCTTATATACGTCACTGTATTTTTTTTTTATATATAGCATGTCCTCTGGGACTTCAAAGATTACTATCACTAAGAGAAGGTGCAGTGGTAACAGGACTTCACCGTGTGTCACTGCTTCCGTAAGGCTTGGTTTCCCCACACACGGCATACACTTACCATCCTGAGGCTTTGATTAACATCCTGACTGTTTCTTTGACCCTTTCCTGGTTCAGCCTCTTGTTTCATGCTCTTGTGTTTGTGAAACAGTCCACCAATAGCTTTACTGATCACAGGAAGTCAAAAGCTTGATGCTTTATTGGTTTGCAACTTTTTTCCATTTAATTTTCACCTGGTTCCATAGTTGGGTTGAAGTTTTGGTTAGTTTTTCGTCTGGGGTTTGTCAACCTGACACAAGTTAGAATCATCTGAGAGGAAGGAACCACAATTAAGAAAAGGCCTCATAAGATTGGATTGTAGGCAATGCCGTGGGCATTTTCTTAACTAGTGACTGATGGGGAGGGCAGGACTGGTTGTGGGTGGGGCTATCCCTGAGTAGGTGGTCCTGGGTTCTATATGAAATCAGGCTGAGGAAACCATAGGAGTAAGCTAGTAAGCAGAAGTCCTCCACTATTTCAGTTTCTGCTTTAGTTCCTGCTATCAAATTCCTGCCTTGACTTCCTGTCCTGACTTCCCTCAGTGGCAGAGTGTAACCTGAGAGTTGTAAACTGAGGTAAGCCCTGTCCTCCTATGTTGTTTTTGGTCAGAGTGTTTACCACAGCAACAGAACCCCTAAGAGAGTTGGGTAAGGAATTCTATGTTGCAAGCAATATTTCACTAGCATTTGAAGACACTACAGCCCCTTAGCTGGTGACAAGTTTAAGCCAATCTAATTATTTTTTCTAGAGTTCTAAATCCTTAGAATGATGAGTTTTGCTGTATATCGTGGCACACACCTTTAATCCCAGCACTCTGGAGGCAGAAGCAGGTTGATCTCAATGAGTTCCAGGTCAGCCTGGTCTACACAGGAAGCTCTGGACCTGCCAAGACTACATATTGAGAGCCTAGCTCACAAAATAAGTACACAGAGAGATAAATATAGAAATAGAAAAGAAAGAAATAGAATGGTGAGTCTGGGCACCAACTTGTCTCTTTCTTGTGTGTATCTGAGTGCACATATGTGCTCACATGCTGATGTGAGCCAGAGGTCAATCCATGTCCAGTTGCTTCCACAATCCTTCCCCAGCTTACTTATTGAGACAGAGATGCTCATTGAATCTGGAACTCACTAATCCAGCCTGACTGATAGGTCAACAAGCCCACACACCCTCCCATTTCTGCTCTACAGTGCTGGGGCTACAGCTATGTGTTAGAGAGCCTGGTTTCTCCATGGGCATTAGGCACCTGTAGTGGTTTGAATAGGAATGGCCCTCACAGACTCCTGTGTTTGCATACTTGGTCAATAGGGAGTGGTGCTATTAGAAATGTAGCCTTGTTGGAGGAAGTGTATCACTGTGGGGTGGGCTCTGAGGTCTCATATGCTCAAGCTATGTCCAGTGTGACACACAGTCTCCTTTGCTGCCTGTGGATCAATATGTAGGACTCTCAGCTCACTCTCCAGCATCACGTGTGCCTGCATATTGCCATGCTTCTTGCCATGACAAAATAATAACTGTAAGCCAGCCTCTGTTAAATGTTTTCCTTTATAAGAGATGCCGTCGCTGGGCAGTGATGGTGCACACCTTTAATCCCATCACTCGGGAGGCAGAGCCAGGTGGATCTCTGTAAGTTCAAAGCCAGCCTGATCTACAGAGTAAGATCCATGACAGGCACCAAAACTACACAGAGAAACCCTGTCTCGAAAAACAAAAAACAACAACAAAAAAGAGATGCCATGGTCATAGTGCCTTTTCACAGCAATAGAAACCCTAACGAAGACAGAACCCAAGCTCAAGTTCCCATGCTTCAGCAGCAAGCATCTTATCAATCCTCCCAGCCTAGCACTGTTTTGTTTGGACCCATTCAGCCTGAGACTCTGTTTGAAAAAGTTAAGAAATATCCTTAAATTCTTTTAAAATTCCTTCACTATCCTCTCCCCATTTTATTTGTGTATTTGTTTATTCTTTTTGTCACACGGAACCCTTGTGGTCAAGAGGCTGTGATCTTTTCTACCTCCCATTTTCTGCTTTTTTGCTTTCAGAAGGACATCCTCAACCAGAGTTCTACATTTTCACCTTTTAAATAGAATATCTTTTACATCTTGACAATTTCATACACGTATGCAACGTATCTTGACCATGTCTGCTGCCTCCCACTCCACTGGACACTGCCTGACACAACTCTAGATTCCTTTAGTGTAGTGCTTTGTTTTACTCATGCGGGGATTTCATTTTTATTTTATGGATATAATGTCATCTGCCCACCCAGTGCTCGTCTGTGCAAAGCTGCTTCACCTCCAGGTTGCTAAAGTCCCTCTCAGGGGTTAGGTCATCCTCTGAAATCCATGGGAGGCTGCAGGACTGTGGTTCCTGCGAAGCTGTACATGTGCAGATAGTTTATTGACTTTGAATGTTACTTTACTCTTTTGGGTTCTTCCAATGTCTCCAGCTCAGTGTCTGCTGCTGCAATAGGAAGGGTGCCCAGAGAAAACTGTGATCTAGACACAGTGGGAAGAGACACATGGTGGCTTCAGATTTTATTGCTCAGTGTGAACATACTCATCCCATTCTTTTAGTCTTAATACATTTTTCACGGTACCCTCTGTCCAGGAAGCTATTTTAGCCCCTCGAGCCCCCTGTAGAGAAGGATAGGATCATGTCCGTTAGCCCGAAATGAAGACAAAAGCTCTTGAAACTGTTCCCCACCAGTTCTCGTTTCCACCAGTCTCAGCTTCCTGCCCTCTCAGTTCCACGCCGTGGCCTGACTAAACATAGGGTCAGTTTCTGGCTTTCCCGTGCCAGTTCACCCACTCGCCTTTACAGCTTCAAACTCCTTTGCTCTCATCCTCTCTCCTCTTTTCTACCTCCATATAGGTTTCATCTTGTAAAGCATGTACACTATGATTGAATTGGGATGGAAATAAGCTTGTGTATAAATGTCACACCCATCACCTTTATCCAATTTCTTTATCCCAGCCCTCTAGTTGCTTCCTTTGGGATACTTGCCACAATCTCATCTTAAAATGCACTTGTCACATGACTCCTTCAACAGGAAGTGTCACCATGACAATAACGGACTTTAACCAACTGACGCAGTGCCCTCTAATGGCAAAAACTGTTCACTGAATTATTGCCAGGACCCTGCATTATCAGATCCTACCGCCAGGGGCCGCTCTCGTCCCCTTGACGTTATCTCCAGTGGAGAGAAAGGCATTTATTTCCTTGTCATGCTATCGCTATCTTTTGAGATGAAGAAGCAGCCAGAGTAGTTTGAGAGGTGCTCAGAGTCAGACAAGTGTAAGAATGTGACCTGAGACCACCTGGGAAGACTCCGGAACCCATGGCCTGATCACACAGAGCGTGACTGCTACAGCAGGAGTAAGTCTGTGGAACTGCCACAGGGCTGATTTCCCAGGTGAGAACAGAAAGCCTCAAGTGTGTAAACACCTTGGGTTCAGGTGTTTAGATGGAAAGTACTGCGAAAGGAATGCAAGCCATGGTCACTCTCAGACTGCACGGTCTTAACTCCGGGGTGTGATGTCACAGTACCAGCAGCTGCCCTCAACACTGGGTATAAATAAGAATTCTAAATTAAAGGGACAGCCCCAAGTTTTAAAAGCCACAGCCCAGAACAACCAATGTGACTCTCATCCTTTTACTCAAACACCTGCATTCTAAATACTTTTTACATAGTTAGGATCTTGATTGGAGATATTTGGACATATTTTATATAAATTAGGGATATTAGCAGAAAGGAGAGAGAGGGAGGGAGGGAGAGAGGGAAAGAGGGAGGGAGGGAAGGAAAGAGGGAGAGAGGGAGGGAGAGAGAGAGAAGAGCACAAAATATTGAAAATCTCAGCTTTGATGACATAAAGGTAAAAAGACTTTTTCACATAATATATTTAGGCTCTGGAGTTTGGTGATGGTTTGAATCAGATTGCCTTCTTACCACCAACAATTCCCTTTTCGCGGTTCGAACTCTTTGAGAGTGAAGTACAGATAAATGGGACTCTCCTTCGAAGCATGTTGAGAGCATTCGGTGACAGTGTATATAGATATGACAAGGTGGAAAGTGTTTACTAAACATCAGCTATTATTAAGATGCTATAGAGTGCTAATTTGCTCTTATATTTGTCAGGCGTGACATCTATTTTATGTATTGTTATAAACACACAGACAAATACATCATGCTCCCCAATATAAAAAGAAAGTGTATAAAGATTTTTGTCCAGTGTGCCAAAGACCTCACTGCTAGGCAGTCTGCCACCATCTTGGCTTGCCTTGTTCTATTTTCTGTCTTTTTGTGGCTAAGGATCCATGACTCAGGACACATCCCAGAGGAGAGTATCTCTGGCCATTGGTGATAAAATACTCCAGCTTTGTGAGTAACACAGTGGTCAATGCTCTTACATATCTCAAACCGGGTTCAGAAGACATAGAAACTCAGGTTCAGGAACAAATTATGCAAAAGAAAATGTTCCCGAGGCACTGATAATAGCTACGGACGACGCAATCAACAAAAAGTTTCCGTTTTGCGTGGTTTGGGCTGCAGGGTCCGTTGCTGCCACCTTGTGGTGAGGTGGTAATTTCAAACTCAAAATAACTGCGGTGAGATGGTAGGTAGTACCAACATTCTTTTTGGTGAGACCGGGTCTTGTCATGCAGCCCAGACTGGCCTTGCAGTTCTCCAGCCAGCCCCTGCCTCCACAGTGCTGGGATTACAGGTGTGGGCTGCCACACAAGTATCACTGAAAATATTGTCATTATATGTGCTCGAAGAAATGCAAGAGGTACAACAACCGCTAATATTTCTGTATTTGTGCTAAAAGCCCACTTTCAATTTGAAAGGATTAAATGAAACACTGTGTCTCTGAACATTCGTCACTAGGACTGCCCTTGAATTTATTATGAGTATTTATCATTTGGCGACCCAATGTGTCTACAGTTGTTTCCTTGCCTGAAAAGCAGTGTGGAGGTGGGAGATACACAGAACAGAGGTAATCCTTATGTTCTGACTTCAACACCAAATGGCATGGATAGTGAGAAACAGACAACCTTTAACATCCTTCTCAAGCACAAAACCTAGCTCACAACCTTCCTGAAGGACAACCAGAAATTTCTTGTTCCTTCAAGTCCAAGAGTGGCCACCTAGAATGAACAGGAAACTTACGGGGCTACACACACACACACACACACACACACACACACACACACCCCTAAAAAGAAAGGATGCAATTGTTAAATTTCTTCTTTCTGTTATTTGAAAATGAACCTTAAGAAGTGATTACACTACGTGTAGTAATTTAAATTTTATTAGTTGGAAATAATCCAACAAATTATAAAGAAAATCTGAGCTAAAGAAGTGATCACTGATTTGGGTATTATAAATTTTTATTTGAACCCAACAGTGTGGATGTGACCATTGGAAAGTACACATGGCCTTCACAAAGCTTTCTGGCAGCCAGATCCTGCCTAGAAGCTCCCTACTGTGTGTACTTGTCTAGAAGATCCAGGCTAGCCTTGACTAATTAATGTTCATATCAGACATAAACTAACCCCGAAAGTGTTATTCCAGAGCAGCTCTTTGTTGTTGCTAGTGTTCGTTTTATTTTGTGAGACCGAGCCTTGGTATGTTGCCCAGAACTTACAGTCCTCAGCCTCCCAGGGAGATGAGTTCACAGGTGGCACCACCAGGTCCAGAAAGCACACACACTTCTCAGCAAGAAAGAGGCTATGAATAAATTACTTGGTCTTCAGACTCAATAAAACAAATATGTAATAAAGGAGGCATCTGTTTTACAGGTGCCACGCATTTCTCTTCCTTTCTCAGGATAGTATTTGCTTATAGCACTTCACTTATCAAAAGGACAGGGTTGGTGTGTCCTATGTATGACGTGCATGGCACACAATGCTCATGCTAAGGCGCCATGGGTGTTGTGACTCATCATGGCCGATTATACCCATTAGGTGTGATAATGAAGGGAGAAACACAAATTGAGTGTCCAGCCTCACAGAATGCAGCACATCTACTTCCCTTCAGTTAAGATACATAGCTTTAAGGGTCCTGTGTTAAAAGTGGACTTCAGGAATCTCAAAATACAATTATCTTTCATTACAATAAACTAAGATGAAAGCTCATGGGGCTTTCTCATAAAACCAAAATCCCATTTACCATGACTTGCCTACGTACCTCTTGGAGTATTTACTAAAGGCCGCCACATCAACACCCCACAGAGACACTTGCTCATCATTGTTTATGGTGGCACTGTTCGCATTAGACAAATGATAGAAACTACCTGTCTAAAATACTGGAATGAATGCAGAAAATGTGGTGTGTGTGTGTGTGTGTGTACAGATAAATACATGTATATAAAATGTTTGTATGAAAATTTCCTGTGAAACATAATACCACAGGCAATGAAAGTACATAATGAAACTGGTGACAAAAATATTTTAAAATGAGTAATAGGATTGGTGAGATGGCTCAGAATGCTGCTATGCCAGAGGACCTGGGTTTGATCCTTGTGACTCCCATGGTAGAAAGAGGGAACTGACTCCTGAAAGTTGTTTTCTGGTTTCCATACAGGCTCTGTGGCACATGTATGCACACAACACACACACACACACACACACACACACACACACACACACACACACACACACACACAAGTGTAATTTTAAAACTTGAGTAATAAATGACTGAGTCAGGCATGGGTCTCTATCAGATCATAACTATGAAGAAACAAATGCATAGATAACTATTTTCATTCCTTCTACCTTGCTGCTCAAATTATACTTGTTTTTCTCACCATTCACAAGGATGTCTGCTCTCTTCTAGGAGCAGACGTTCAAGGAGTTGCTCACATGTCATGCACCTCTTCTTCTGAAAGATTTGGACACATACTTAGGGGACAAGGAGTGGTTTATTGGTAATTATGTGAGTACATTTTATTGTTAAAAATATCAGCAATTATATTTAGATAAGATGATAAACTAAAAACTTACTGAGCGAAACGTTATTCTAGCCAGGCATTGCCGGGGGCCCAGTCTCAGCTCGGGTTCAGGTCCTGAGATGGGGAAGGGTTGTCGGTGCAAGGAAAACTTCTGACCAAGTGGATTGCACTCATGTGGCCCAGAATAGCTGAGGCCATTTTTAGTTATATTTAAACAGAGTTTTTCTTACCATCGTTACCTGAACAGCTTTATTATTGGCTTCTATTTTTTACATTAAGAAATACATCACAACCTAAGGAGTACGTTGTGATCATTATGAAAGTCCCCATTGTTCCCCTTTATGCTTCCCCAAACACACTTTCCCATCCCCTGCATAGCCTTATTCTAGACACAGAGTTCAGCATTTTTGCAGGCTTAACTAAATATCGAGGCAGACACATCCTGCTTTCGCAGCACAGCTACTGAGGTTACAAAGTTAAAAAGTAATGGACATGGCACGGTGCTTGAAGGACAATAATATTCAATCCCAAACAATTCTTTCATGTCTGCAAGATATGCTTTTATACAGCTACCTTTTCTACGTGAGGGTCCCATGTCTCATTCTCTCTGTGAAAGGCAGACCTTGATAAAGCACTCTTTTCCCATCTCACTACACCATACTTCTTCCAATATTAGCTCCTTTGGATGAAAAAGATGGATCTATCTATCTCACATTTTGCATTTTATTTTTTTCCTCTTGGAGCATACCAGATCCTACCAAAGATTCTTTGCTTGGTGTCTAGGGAACTTACTCTCAACAGTTGGCACTATATATGTATTCCTGAGGCTTTTTCCCATATTCTGTGTATGCATGCCCTGCTCTCCTTTCCAGAACTGTGAGACATGGTTAATGTTCCAAGTGTTGTTTTCTCACATGTACCTAACTGTCTCTGTTGAGTCAGAAAAATTCCCAGGATTGGAAGTTGTAGTTAGTAACTCCAGATAAGAAATTTGAGAAGCATTAGCCCCCTGTTAAATTCTTAGGGAAAATATTTGAGAAAGAGCAGAATTTCCAGGGAAAATTACCACTATTGCATGTGTGACTGATAAAGTAAAACTAAAACAGCCCAAAGAATCACCAATATAACGAGAGAGAGAGAGAGAAAAAAAAAACCTGCAAGCTGCACGAATATCACAAATTCCTATGCTGTCCCGCTGTCCTGTGGACTACTGGAACTTGCCAAGTGAGAGTCCGTTTCCACGGATGCCTTGCCCAGGGGAAACCCACTATTCAGGTAGTCATATGCTGCTCCGAGACCAAGCTGCACAGCTCCCGACAAGGGATGATAGTGCATACCTGGCATCCCAGCACATGGGAAGCTACCTAGCAAGTTTAAGGCCAGCCTGGGCTACATAAGCCCTTGTCTTAAAAAGGAAAGAAGAAAGAATGGGGTGGCAGATAACTATAGTAGAGAGAGAGAAAAAAATATTAAACTTCTCTAAACTAATTTTGTACACAGATCTGATCTAGAGTCATGAAGTACTTTATATAGTTATATTCAATAATTTTTAAAAGTTATCTTAAGAATCAAAAGGGAATAAATCTATATCACATGCATCAGAGTACATAAATGCTACTTATTTCATTATTTTATGCACATGTGTGCACATGTGCACATTTGTGTGGGGATCTGTGTGTGTATGATGTGGGGGCCAGAGGTTGACTTCAGACATTGTTGCTCAGACACTGTCCACCTTGTTGTCTGTCTGAGACAGGATCCCTTACTCTCCTGGAGCTCACCAGTCAGGAGAGGCTAGCTGGCCTGTGAGCCTCAGGGCTGTTCTTGCTTGGGTCTCCCCAGTGCTGGGATCACAAGCCTTCGACACCACACCCAGCTTTTGTACATGGATTCGAGGGCTCAAACTCAGTTCCTCACAGCGCTGGCACAGCAAATGCTTTACCAACTGAACTATCTCCTCAGCCCCTGACTGAGAACTACCTTTAACGCAAGGCACTGTAATCTGACTCATGCTAGGAATCTCAGAAAAGCAAGCCCACACACTATTTTCAGTAGAACTATGTGGCTGCACTCCTGCTGAGCTCCTGGCCTGGCTCCAACAGTGACAGAACTATTAGCAGTTCTGGGCACCGTTGGTATTGTCTTAATGATATTATGATTTGTACACTGGAGTGCAGTAATCAGAAATCACACTGATGTTACTAAGAATCAGGATCTTTGGTGTAGGAGAGGAGACAAAGATAATCCAGTCATCATGAGTACTCCTCATACCCAGATTCTGGTCTCCTAAATACTGAAAGGAACTGGGGATTTGTGGACAAATGACTTATTCTTGATTTGAGAAAAGAAATATTTAATGAGTACTTTTTCCTACTAGAAGCAAATGAATTACCATTTGTAATTGTTTGTATCAAAAGGATTCGGAAGGCAGCCTGAGAATGACTAGAGATGGAGCAATGCAGGTTTAAATATTCATTAACAGCAGCAAATTCAAACAAGTCAAAACAAACAGAGGAACTTATGATCACCTCTGCCATATCCAAACATATGACACAACCCCACCCCCAACCAAGCTCCTTGCTTGCTATAGAGACAGAACCCATCATGAAAACTCCCAAGAACAGACACCAATGTAAGAGGCTTGTTTCCCACCTTTCCTATGAAGGCAGTACACGTTTCTCATCAGAAAAGTACCCTAGTCATAAATAAAGAGAGGATTAGACTCGACATCATCACTTTCCAACCCTGAAGAAGCAATGGACCTAGCCAGTGGCCACCAGAAGCCACCCATATCACAGAGAGATGATGGCCAGATGCTACAGGCGGGCTTTCAGAGCAGGAACATACTCCACCCAAAGCAAATCTAACTGACCTCAGTGCAGTGGTGGGTGGGGTTTCCCAGCCTTTGGGGCTAGTGTGTATGAAAGATAAGAAAAAGGGCTTGGGTCTGTGGCCTCGGTGGCTCTGAGCAGTCTACCTGGTCCCTACATCTCCTCAGCCTCCATCACACTGCACAGCCCTTCCCTTCCTCCCACTTGCCTTTTCTAGACTCTCCCTTCCCTATTTCCTGGGTATTTCTAGGAACTGATTTTTTTTTTTTATTCCTATTAAAATCCCCTTGTCAACCACCTCCATCCCCATTCTCTGTTCTTCTGAACGAGACACATCACACTCCCAGGTAAATAATGGCTGCTAAGCTTGGCTTGTCTGGACGCTTGGCTTAAATATACATCACCTCTTAGAGGGTCCCCTGCCTGTGTGAGTCACTCCACTTTTCCTTCATCACCTGTTTCACTGTGTGTCTGAGTGCTTTCTTCTAAAACAAAATCCCAGACTAGGGATGAGGTTTAGCAGTGTTTGAAGGCTCTGAATTTGACCCACAGCACTACAAACAAACAAACAAGTCTGCATTAGAGGAGAACAATGCATCCCAGCTTGTTCTCTGCCATCCCCAACACCTAGATGTGGGTATGACACACAGTAGGTAATTAAATATTCTTAGCTGAACTGTAAATCTTCTGAGCAGCAATTTCTCTTAGATGACTGCAAACTTGTGAAATACCAGCAACCAGCTCTAGTAAATTATGGACACACAAGCAAGTTTAGTCCACATTTAAATTCCACGTTGAATCTGGGCTTGGGGAAACATGCTACAATACCAGGCAGCCTGGTCTCCAGAGGGAGTTCCTGTAAAACACGCTACAGTGTCAGACTGTCTCCCAACAACAAAAGCTAAAAAGTGAACAAAGCAAATTTCACTCTGCTAATGTGATTCTGGAACCCATGGACCACTCCACAGACAAAGCTCAACAATGGAGAACACTCAGCTGACCGAGGCCTAAGGCAGGCTGTACCCTTCACCTTTGCCAGCTTCAGTATTCCATTAAGGGCCAGATAGCCATGCAGTTACTTGTCTTGATGTGATGCAAAGATAATGGATTTTACCCACATCTTTTCCTTGGAATTATAGACCCTGAAGGGATAACCTGTACACTATTTATTCCCTTATACCTTAAAACACAAAGAAACAAGGTAGACAACAGAGTGGAATAACCACAGATCCCCAAACAGGATTATTTGCAGGTGTGGAATTGTCAGTGGTGACATACAAAAAAAAGCACACACTCTTCTCTATTACAAGAGTTAAATATGTACACTGGGCACGTGCACACCTGGACTGAGCCTGCTTTGTCCTACACAGGACTTTGGGAACAGGTGGGAATCTATGAGTTAGATCAAGTGAAAATGTAGTGTCAGATAGGTGGAGATGGGACATGGCTTCCCAACAGTGTAGCACTGGACTGCATGCCGTGAGCTGCCTGCCTCAGGCACCTATACACGTCACAGACAGTACCCCTCAGTGTCCCCCGGGGAACTGCATTGCTTGTCACTTTCTAATTTTATCACACACAGTCAGCTTTCGTACTAACAAAGAGTTGTTTTGAAACTGAAAGGAAATGTTTCTTGATACTATGAAGTTCACTTTTGGAATGCTGATAGCTTTTTTTATATTCAATAGCAAGTCTTTGCTTTCTTTTAAGCAGGTCACCTGGGCAGACTTCTACTGGGATATCTGCAGCACCACACTTTTGGTTTTAAAGCCTGACTTGTTGGACATCCACCCCAGGCTGGTGTCATTGCGGAAGAAAGTCCAAGCTCTTCCTGCCATTGCTGCCTGGGTACAGAAGAGGCCACAGACCAAACTCTGATGCGGGCACAGCACCAGATGAGAGCGACATCAGCCTGCCAGATGATCCGCACACTTCTTACTACCACTAAACTCTGTTGTATTCTGCTTGCTATGATTCTTTTTGTCGTTTCTGTAGGCATTTAGTTTACAGCATTTTCTTTTTTCGGGACTTTACAGTTTTTATAATTGAAACAGTTCATAATACATATTGCTTTGCGTTGACTATCAACATGCATGGATGCTTTAGTTAAAATACTAGTAGTTTCCTGGCTAATGTGTCAATTACCACAGCATTTTAGCTAAGAAATCATGTGAAATACAGATTTTGCAAGTAGATCTTCAATCAACAAATTGCTACACTAAAAAACAATGCCTATGATGCTCAGTGGCTAACCATGTCACTGACCACCATTGTACATGTTATTCAGGTATACACCAAAGTGTTTGTTTCCCAAAAATACTCATTTGTCTGGCATATCATAAACTGAGTACTAAAAAGGGGGAACTCATAAAGATCAAAAAGTACAGCCAAGGAAAGTGATGTTGGAGCTTAATTCAAACCCAACAGAAGCGGAGTTACAGAAAAAGCTGACTGTGAATTCAGCACTGCCACAATTTAGAAGGCTGTAGACAAAGGGGCTTCATCAGCTCACTGACAAAGAAAGGGGGTGTGACAAAGAAAGTTAGGTGCCCAGAGACAAGGGACAGTGGGTTACAATAGACCTTCGCAGCCGGGCGGTGGTGGCGCACGCCTTTAATCCCAGCACTTGGGAGGCAGAGCCAGGCGGATCTCTGTGAGCTTGAGGCCAGCCTGGTCTACAAAGCGAGTTCCAGGAAAGGCGCAAAACTACACAGAGAAACTCTGTCTCGAAAAACCAAAAAAAAAAAAACCAAAAACAAAAAAACAAAAAAAACCTTCGCAGCAAAATCCAGAAATCAGTGGAATGAGAAGGCAATCCATAAACTGGATGAAAGTGTGTGCACAACATTCACCTGGTAAGAACTGTTATGGAAAATATATAAAGAACTGAGAAAAGTTAATAGTAAGGAAATAAACATCCTGATTAAAACGTCAGCAGAGTAGCTGACATTTAAGAAGATATACAGGTGGCCACGAGCATGAAGGGGTGTCAACACAATGGCTTCAGGGAATTACAATAGCTGTGCATTTGGAATGGTAAAAATCTCAGACATCAGAACAAACACTGGAGAGGCAGTGATGTAATGGGAACTAGGACTGATGGCCGAATATAAAAGGTAGCACCATAAGACCTAGTTTCATAAAACAAAATGTCCTTTGACCATCAGGACCAGTAGTCTCACACCATGGGATTCACCCAAATGAGCTGAAAGCATGTCCACATTAAGCTTGAATGTGCGTGTTGGGTACTGCTTTACATACAGCTGTCAAAACCTCAAAACTTTTCAGCAGGAAATAAGAGAAATAAACTTTGGTACATACAAATCAGGTATGTTACTCAGGGCCAAATGAAAGGAGCCTGTACAAAAAGGATCCAACTACATATAACGATGGAAAAAGGACAATGAAGAGAATGAGAAGTTGCCCAGGTCAGCGGTGACATGGGCAGGATTGGTGGCAGATCTGGGGTAGTCAAACTATTCTGTGGGATGCTGTCTGTAGTGACAGGCACATGTCCTCACATTTGTAAACTGACTCAGAATGCAGAACACCAAAGTCCGCTGTAAAGCAAACTGTGGCTTACGGGAGACCAAATGTTGCTAACTGGAAGGCTGTAGATGCGGGCACAGGAGTATATCAAAATATCAGACTGCTCCTTAGTGTTACCATGAACACGAGACTTCTTTGAGAAAAAAAAAAATCCAAAATCTGTGTTAGTTAGCTTTTTAATCACCGACAAACTGTGACACAAATGGCTTACAGGAAAAGATCTATGTGGCTCCATCTCAGACTTCAGCCCAATGATTAGCTGGCTCCATTGGGTTGGATCTGTGGAGAAGCAAAATGTCACGGTGGGCAGTGTGTGGCAAAATGACTGTTTACTTACCTTATGGTGGCTGGGAATCAAAGAGACACACACAATCCTCTGTGGGCCAGTGAGATGGCTCCACGGATAAAGGTACTTGAGGCCAGCCTGAAGACCTGAGAACAATCCATGGCACCTACGTAATGGAAGCAAAAGACTGTCTGCCTATGTGTCCTCTGACCTCCCCTTAAGCACTGTGGCATGTGTGCTCACACACAAAATACATTTATTATTAAGTAAAATCCAGTAATTTTTATTAAGAAATTTTTATTCATTTTTACATACCAACCACAGATCCTCCTCTCATCCCTCCTCCCACTGCCCTTCTAGCCTTCCACCCCACCTTACCCCCCCATCCCTTCCTCCGAAAAAGTAAGGTCTCCCCATGAGAAAGCCTGGTACATTCAGCTGAGACAGGTCCAAGCCCCTCCCTTCAGCATCAAGGTTGGGCAAAGTGTCTGACCATAGGTAATGGACTCCAAAGAGTCAGCTCTTGCACCAGGGATAGATCCTGATCCCACTGCCAGAGGCCCCTTAAAGAGACCAAAGCTGCACAACTGTCTCACTTATGTAGACAGCCTAGTCCAGTCTCACAGAGGCTCCAAACTGTTGATCGAAAGCAGCTTGATCCCACTAGCTTGGTTTGGTTGTCTCTGTAGGTTTCCCCATCATGATCTTGATGTCCCTTGTAGAATCCCTCTTCCCTCTTCGATTGGAGTCCTGGAGTTTAGACTGGTGCTTGCCTGTGGACCTCTGCATCTGCTTCCATCAGTTACCGGATCAAGGTTCTCTTGGTCCAATCAGAGCTGGCAGATTCTGTCCAATAATTTTTTTCTTAAAAGTCTTCTAATTAGCACTATTTAAATAATCCTAGAGGACTGTTTTGTATTGTTTTCAGACAGGGTCTCATTCGGTATCTCAAGGGTGTGTAGCTGGAGTTTTCCTGCCTGGCCCACAGTCAGGACAAATCTCTCTCACCCGCCAGTCCCACAGCCACTCAGACCCGACCAAGTAAACACAGAGACTTATATTGGTTACAAACTGTATGGCTGTGGCAGGCTTCCTGCTAACTGTTTCTACAGCTTAAATTAATCCATTTTCATTAATCTATACCTTGCCACATGGTTTGTGGCTTACCGGCATCTTCACATGCTATTTCTCATCTTGGCGACTGGCAGTGTCTCTCTGACTCAGCCTTCCACTTCCCACCTCCTTTTCCCACCTATACTTCCTGCCTAGCCAATGGCCAATCAGTGTTTTATTTATTGACCAATCAGCAACACATTTGCCATACAGACCATCCCACAGCAAGGGGGGCTAGAATGCACTACCTGGCCAAGCTGCCTTTAAACTCAGTTCAACTCTCCCTCCTGTTTCTCTTTGCTGTCGGGCCTCAATTCCTATTTTAAACTATATATTGTTGGAATATATATATATATATATATATATATATATATATATATATATATATATATATATATATATATATATAGAGAGAGAGAGAGAGAGAGAGAGAGAGAGAGAGAAGAAAAAAGGAGATTATAGGGAGAAAGAAAGAAAATACACGTCCAGTTAGGTGTGCTCTTATTTTGCTAGGTGTGTTCTTTTCTTGAAACAGTGTTCTCTGATTTGCAGGGGGTAAGGGAGTAGGGAGGCAAAACCCTTGCATGTTACTATACGCTATACACAAACACAAAATGCATTTCCTAAGGACCTTGATCTTTTGGATAAAATTTTGTTATTGGTGCTGCTAATAAAAAAGAATCTCATTGCGCAGGTAGACAGCATGTGATTTAAACTATCTACAGAAAAAAAATCTTTAAAGAAATATTCAAACAATGCTTTGAAGGAAGATGATAATGCCTATTATATATAGGCATTTCCCTCCACATACCATTCCATTAAAGATAGTCTTTAATGGAAATATAATTTAGGGAAAGTAATGAATACAATATTTAGCAAAAATAGAAACTCAAAATAAGATAGTCTTACATATTTCTATGATTCATAGTTCAAGTGTAAAAATGTAACCACAGCATGTTCTATAGGGCAATATTTAACATAATTTTAAATGTCAGGAAGCCACTGAGGGTAGATTTCTCCTTTATGAGCTGCTTAAGTGTTGTGCAAATGGAAATTCAATCTTCTGATCCATCCACACCTTCACTCTATAACTCCTGTTGGCCAAAGTTACCTGTCCAAGACACGTAAGACACACTTACTATCCATGTGTGACTTGTACTAATAAAATAAAATAAAATCTACTTCATGCTGGGCATTGGTGGCACATGTCTTTAATCCCAGCACTCTAGAGGCAGAGGCAGATGGATCCCTGAGGTCAAAGCCAGCCTGGTCTACAGAGTGAGTTTCAGGACAGCCAGGGCTACACAGAGAAATCCTGTCTAGAAAAACCAAAACCAAGCCAATAAAATGCCTACCTCAGTTGGTGATGATATTAAGACCTTGTGGCTTTTGTATGCTCTCTGTACATAATGGGCTGTGATATTTAATGGCACCAGTCCAATGAAGCAACATCTAAGGATTCATTCTAAGTAACAAATCCCAATTTATTGCCAAGCAATATCTTCAACACAGGACGATCCCATTTCTGCTCAATATATATACTTCTATGGGGAAGGATTGAAAGAAGGTTAGAAACTTTACAAAGGTTGTGAAATACAACAATGATCACAAATATTTTTATTAAGCCCGAGACATAATAACAGAATATTACAGGGAGACTCCAACTACATTTCATTAGAAGAAATATGACTATAACACAACAAAAGAGTCTACTGTGGGAGATACATTCATACAGAAAAGTTAAGAAATTTACCGTGGCTTTAAGAGGTATGTTTCCCAACAACTTGCTAAGTGACCTGGGTACTGTGATCAGGAGGTAGCACGGACACCTGCGGATTCCTGGTAGCCCTGTAGTGCTGATATATCTGATATATTCATACAGCATCAAAACTATATCTACTAAGTCAGGAGTTCCGAGTCTTGGGTACCTAAAAAAAAAAGCACTGTAAGATCCTATCAGCCTTCTAACAGCTTACCTAGCACCTTAGCAGTCAGGACGTCTTGAAAAGTATGAGCTCCAATAATTAAGAAATCTCTCATTTATAAATAAGTTTATTTATAATGATATTTACATAATAAAAACAAAACACATAAAACTCACAAGTTGTACAAAGAATCTGGTGTATAATAAAAACAGCAA